AAAAAAAAAAGGATTGGGGCTGGGGGGCAAGAAAGGGGTTGGGAATGTTTCTCTCTCCCCTCTGGCTCCCACCACTGACCCAGGTCAGGATTGGAAAGTGCATATGGGGAATCAAACAAAGCTTCCCAAGGCAACATAGGGATTATTCCCAATCCATGCCCAGCAAATCCTGCCTGGATTTGCCTGCAGAGCCCCCACAACTCACCGCTATACTGACTTTTCCCAAGATCTCCTCAGGAATTCTTTTGGCTTCTTTCAATACTTGATCCAAGGAACCACCATCCTGAAAGAAACAACATGGCAATGACCAACACAGCAATTCCCAGCAGAAAAACACACATTAACTGCCTGTACAAGGGAGCAAGTGGTGTATAAGTCCATTGCACGTTGAGCTCACTCCAAAAAAAAAAAAAGAGAGATTTGATGATTTGAGCTCAAGTTTATCACCAACAACTAATTTAATGCTGTTTTCAACCACTTCTGCTTCTTGCTGTTGGTTCTTCGCTTCCTCCCATCAATGGGAATGCAGAGATGATGCTGGTTTGGAGGAGAAAGAAGCTCACTCTCTAGCAGAAACAAGAGCAAACACTCAGAGAGCTTCTCAGCAGGCTCTGGAGAGCAGTGGGTTGACAACGTTTCCGCTTGGCCAAGCCCCAAACCTCTGTTTCCGCTTTCCACAAGTCACTGTCTCCCTCACTTTGAGGCCTGAGCAGGAGCATGTGGTTCCTGCCAGGGCCCCAACCCCTGTCCCCTGCACTTGGGGAAGGTCTATAGAGGAGGCTGGGGCACTCACCATGTGCTCCATGCAGATGGAAATCTCTCCATCGCTGTAGAAGGCTCCATAAAAGCCCACGATGTAAGGGGAATTGCATTCGTGCAGCACCTGCAGCTCCCTGATGATCTGGTTCCTGATGGCTGGTTTGATTTCTAGGTGAATCAGCTGTTAAGAAAGAGAAGCAGAGGATCATAGTTAAGAGGTTGGGATGGAGCTTAGAGATGATCCAGCCCCAACCCCCTGCCCTGGGCAGAGACACCTCCCACCAGAGCAGGTTGCTCAAGGCTTTATCCAACCTGGAATGAACAGTGCTGTCACAGGGTTAGGGCAGCCACTACTTCCCTGGGCAACCTGGGCCAGTGTCTCAGCACTCTCAGAGCAGCTGTGGCTGCTCCATCCCTGGGAGTGTTCCAGGCCAGGTGGAAGAAGAGAAGCCCCAGGGAGACTTTGGAGCCTCTTCCAGTGCCTAAAAGGGGCTCCAAGAGAGCTGGAGAGACTTAGGACAAGGGCCTAGAGGGATAGGACAAGGGGGGAGTGGCTTAAAGCTGAAGGATGGCAGGGCTAGATGGGATATTGGGAAAGAATTCCTCCCTGTGAGGGTGCTGAGGCACTGGAATGGATTTCCCAGAGCAGCTGTGGCTGCTCCATCCCTGGGAGTGTTCCAGGCCAGGTTGGCTGGGGCTTGGAGCAACCTGGGCTAGTGGAAGGTGTCCCTGCCCAAGGCAGGGGGTGGGACTGGATGAGCTTCAAGGTCCTTCCCACCCAAACCATTCCAGGTTGTAGGCAGAGGGAGAGTCCTGTGCAGGTTGTCAGTCCCGGAAGGAGCAGCAGCCACGGGACACACTGGGATTGCACAGGGCACGAGCGGAAAGACGAGTCAGAAGTTTGTTTGCTGCAGCTCTGACTCAGCAGACAGCAGCATTTTCACAAGCTCTGGAGGTGTTGTAAGAAGGTGCTCCGAGATCATGGAAACCACAGCAAATGCAAAACCCCATGAAGATTCTGCACGTGGCTGAGAAGCTGCTTTGGGGCTCCACTTGGAGTCAGTTAGCACAGCTGTGTGGAGAGAAGCAAACTGCTCTGCTGGGAGGTGTCCCTGCCCATGGCAGGAGTGGGACTGGATCAACTTTAAGGTTCTTCCAGCCCAAACCAGCCTAGGATTCCATGATACCAACAGCAGGAGAGAGCAGAGCCTTTGGATGAAGCCATCCTGCACAGGAGTGGTTGCACTGATCACTGACTCTGCTAAGAGGCACATGAAGCATCTCCTAATCTTCTGCTACAGTAGAAAATATCACCCAAGAACCCACACCTGAGAGAAACCACTGCCACTGCTTGGAATGACCTTGGGGATCTGTTAAGTGGGTGGTGAGGAATGAGGAATGTGTATGCCAAACCCATTCCTCCCCCTGCCACTTCCAACCCTCCTAAGAGCCTCAAAGGATCTGCTTCCAGCCAGTTTATCCATTAAAACCAGCTTCACTGGGAGAAAAATAGACTCATGTTTTGACATCTGGGTCTCCAAAGCCCAGGGATCTCTTGGAGACTGTGGCCTCTCCCAAAGGAGGACCTGGAGACAGGCTCCATGTAGGACCTATGTGGGGACAGCCAGGACTGTGCTCCTGACCCTGCAGAGGAAATCCAACTCAAACCACCTCTCCCACAGCCAGGGGAGAGTCCCAGTCCCTCTCCAACACACCACCACAGCTCATTCCTCCCTCCCCCTCGTTACCTTCCGTGCCATAATGAGCCCTGAGGGTTTGTGCTGCACTTTGGTGACCACCCCACCATTGCCAGCCCCCAGCTCAGAGATCCTCTCAAAGTCATCATCCTTGAGCTCTCCCACTTTGGCTTTCTGGGTGAGGAAAGCTTCCAGGCGCTTCTTCTGCTGCTCATCCAGCTCCAACTCCTCCAACTTCTTCTGCAGGTCCACCAGGTTCGCCCTGGAGAGGGGAGGAGGAGATGGGAGGATGGTCAGGAAGGAATGGCAGGGAAAGGAGGAGCTGTTTATTAGGGAAGTGACTGCTAACCAACCCCTGACAGTGCAGCAAAGCTCTGGGAAGAGGCAGAGCTCAGCCCCAGTGCTGCCAGGGTCACCCATGGCCCCACAGTGCAGTCCCTGCCCGACACACACCTCTCCTCTGGAGAGGAGCTTTGTGCAGTCAGCTGCTCTGGGAAAGCCAAGGAGTAAGGAAAATCCTTCAATCCTTAAAGAGGCAGCACAGCTCAGCCCAGAGGGAACAGCAGCACCAGCAACTGCTCCCTGTGCAGGGAAGCCAAGCTTGGGTTTCGCTGAGAAACATGAGAAGGGCTGACCATGGTGTCCTCTGCTCCATTACACTCCTCCCCACGGCCCCCAAACCCCCTCCTGAGCACAAAGGGGTGTCTGTGCTCCCCCAGCACCTGCTGCTGAGCTCCTATGGCTCTACACAAGCTTCAGCTGCTCTCTCCCATTTGCTGCCCACCCCCTTGTCCCCCTCACCCACACCAGGAGGGTCTCACCCCATCCCTTCCACCCAGCACCCCCATAGGAGGCTCTGCCCCCCTCTCCACCACCTCTCACCCCAC